TTTCCTAACTCAGGATGAGTCTTTGGTTTATCACTATTAGTCAGCGACAAACTGACAATCCATGTTATGGAAACATCCCTCCTCGCCTGCTCCAAAGAAGTCGAAGGTTATTTCCTCTGCAGGGAAGGGGATGGTTTCAGTTTTTTGGGATGCAAAAGACATTGTGTTTATTGACTATCTTCAAAAGGGCCACACGATCAATGGAGAGTACTATGCCAATTTGCTGAAGCATAGACTATCAAGATCAAACGCCCAGGAAAACTGACGAAATGGTCTTGTTTCATCAGGACAATTCTCCAGCACATAAGTCCTTGGTTTTAATGGCTGCTGGGTGTGACTGTGACTTTGAACTGGTTGATCACCTTCCTTATTCTTATTCTGATTTGCCCCCGTCTGTCTATCATCTGTTGCCCAACATTAAAAAACACTTGGCTGGGGACCAGTATAGCAGTGATGATGACGTCATACCTACTGTTGATGAATTTTGACCAACAGGGTGAAATCTTCTTCACTAGTGGTGTTCAAACGCTGCAACACTAATGGAAGAAGATTTTGGACTGCAATGGAACTATGCTGGAAAAACCTTCTTTACTCACATTTCATGAGAGTAACTTGGTCAGCCTACGAACTTTTCAGCCGACACTCGTAGATACAAATCTATATCTAACTCATCTTGTATTCATTTCATATATTTAGAAGTCTCGGAAAAACGGGTTTGGTTTGGTTTGGTTTGTTTTACGGTATATCAACCTCAATGGGTTATTTAATGCCGACAAAATTTTTATTGCTGGTAATATTTTGTTTTGTCAAAAATCTATTTCTATTTGGTAATATTTTTTCTTCAAAAATGTAATGCTGCTAATTTTTTTTTTCAAAAATGTATTGCTAGTAATATTTATTTTAAAAACATTTTTGGTAATATTATTTTTCAAAAATGTATTTCTGGTAATAGTTTTTTTTTTCTTCAAAATTTATTGCTGGTAATAATTTTTTAAAGCATTTCTGGTATTAAAACCTATTTTTACACTTTCATAACCTTTTTACTCCAGTTTCATAGCTGGGACCCTAACAGGTTCTACCACCCCGGGCCAGGGCGGACCTGGAAACACCAGCAATTAAGAGGTGGTTCCATGCTCCTCAAAACCTCCTGATCAGAGTCCTTGCTGCTTGACGTAGTTTATCGTCTTACCCAGGACGTGGAAGTAGTGTATCGTCATACCCAGGACGGCCCGGCAAAACGGGATACTTCTCGTGCGCTTCATAGTAAATACGATAATATATACTATTTATCTATCGTCAAAAATGGCGGCAATTTTGAGAACGTTTTAATAGTGAGAAACGAAACAGAAGTCTTGAAACAATGTATTGAGATTCAATAAAGCGGCAATAAAGAATTCACAACTAAAATAGCGGCCATTGAACCATTTAATTAATCCGTTCTTTTTATAGCTTTTAGATGCCCAATGTATCGATGATTCAATGATTACTCCTGGTATTATACAAATCACTTTTTGCTCGATATATTTTCATGTTAAAAATTTTATATATTTAATATAACATTGAAATATCTTTTGAAAGAAAAAGATTAGCAACAGAACAACTTGATTTACCTCCCTTCCTACTACAGATGGGACAGGAAATATATAAATGCACAATGATAATTATTATATTGCTTGATGTCTTCATACTTTATTACCAAATAGCATCATAGGATTTTCAATGAGACAGAAAAAGCGAATTCATAAAAAATGGAGATAATATAAGAATTCACAACTAAAATAAAGGCCAATGAACCATTTAATTAATCTGCTTCCTTTATATATTTTAGACGTTCATTAGTATGGATGATTCATTGATTACTTCTATATAAATCGTTTTTTGTTCAATATATTTTCATGTTAAAAATTTTATGTTTAATATAATACTGAAATGGAAATATCTCACGGAAGAAAAAGATTAACAACAAAACGACAAAGACGGCAATCACAAAACCGATTTCAAGACCAAGTTGAAGCAAGACGATCATTTAATAAACAAATGTATCTGAGCGCCTCACATGAAAGGCTCTAACAAATACGACTGCAATCTAAGAAACGTTGGAGTAAAGAAACAGATTAATTAAACGGTTCAGTTTGCTCGAGAACTAATTTTATCTAAATGCAGACAAATATTTCATTAGTATAGATTATTTAAACGACAAAGAGTAGTAAACACTGATTAATTTGGTAAATTTGCTTTTTAACGGCCAAACGCCCGCGCGCTAAATATCTCTTAAAATTTTCCCAAATCGTCATAATTCCGTGCTGAACTCGAATTAACAATGAAATTATGAAGAAACCGACCGTTTTGGAATTATCGACAAGAAAAAATTGGACTTCTTCTTGGTCATTAGTTCGCCTTTGCTGCCATAATATTCAATAAAACACTGCGGATTACTTCCGGTGGCATAGGCATAAATTTTGGCCTATTTACTTCTTTTACAGACCTTCGGTGCAGAAAATCACTACGCACTACCGTAAAGAAATGTAATTTTTTTTTTGGTAAGTGTAGTTTTATTTATAACAAAAAACAAATTAAATAATACAATAGAACCTTTTTTCCGTGTAGAATAGCAATGACAAATTAAAAGAACTAATTAAATAATACAATGAAGCTTTTTTTAAAATTAAAAGCGGACAAATTGAAAAAAAAATTAAATAATACAATAAAGCTTTTTTTAAAATTGAAAGCAGAAAATTGAAAAAAAAAACATATTAAATGACACAATTAAGCCTTATTTCGTTTCTAGCATTTTTTTTTATTTTCTAATTTTATTTTATATATTTATGGGTTAAGTTTAGAGTTAGGTGTTAGGGTTATGGGTTGGGTCAGGGTTCTTTCTGTGTAGAAAAGGGGACAAATTAAAAAAAAATAAAATAATACAATCAATCCTTATTTCGTTTCTACTTTATTCATTAATTATTGTTTGTTTTATTTTCAATTTTAAAATATAAAGATGCTTTATTGTATTATTTAATTTGTTCTTTTAATTTGTCATTGCTATCCTACAGAGAAAAAAGGTTTTATTGTATTATTTAATTTGTTTTTGTTTAAAGTTTTCTGTTATAAATAAAACTACACTTTTCAAAAAAAAAAAAAATGATTTACGATAATGCGTAGTGATTTCAAAAAGAGATATAGCTGTAAAAGAAGTAAATAGGCCAAAATTTATGCTTACGCCGCCGGAAGTAATCCGCAGTCAATCAGTGAACATTATGGCAGTAAGGGCGGACGAATGACCAACAAGAAGTCCGATTTTTTCTTGTCGATAACTCCAAAACGGTAGGTTTCTTCATAATTTAATTGTTAATTCGAGTTCAGCACGGGTATTATGACGAGTTGGGAAAATTTTAAGAGATATTTAGCGCGCTGGCATTTGGGCGTTAAAAAGCAAATTTACCATAAATTTACCAACTTAAGTTGATTTACCTCCATTCCAGATGGGACAGAAAATATATAAATAAATACACATTGATAATTATTATCTGGTTTGATTAGACGACATGACAAGTTACTACCCAGATTTAATGAATACATCGGGAAGCATTGCCATGACAACAGAGGAGAGAAACCTATATTAGATAAGATACAGAGTATTAAAATCGGAGATTAGGTCAACATGGACCATGTGGGAGAGGAACAAAGTAGCAGACCCCCGAACTACCGCCAGTTACGATGAACGGATGTCTCCTCGAGGAGGCACCATGTATTGAGAGAATATTACTCCTCAAACTCACACCCGAGCGCAAGTGGAAGTCTTATATACAATCCATGTCTAAAGATGCAGGTAAAATGATCGGCTTCCTGTACCGCTCCAGTAAGTAACAGACTCCTTATGCTATTCTCTACCTTTAAAAGAGCCAGATCAGGCAGAAAATGGAGCACTGCTGCCATATTTAGTTGAGACCTGCCCAGTCCTCACTTGATAAAGTTCAAAAGCATCTCCGAGCACTTGACTTGGGAAAGGTATAAATCCTCTTCTTCTCCCACAGCAATGGGTAAATAGCAGAACAGACCGGGTTCTATAGTCTTAGATGGCAACTGGTCTACCGCAGAAAGACATGGCAACGTACTGCGTCAAAAAATAAAACCCTAATGAAAATTGTCGTCCGTTACACCGTAAATAATTATGATCACGTTCGTCGCTCAATCCACCGTCAATAAATCGATTAACACGCCAGGAAAACAAAACGTCGTAATAAAGAAATGATTGTATATAACATTTTATAAGTAGAGTAATATTTGTTACAAATCAGATTAACTTAACTTTAAATTTGCTAATTTTCCTCAAATAACATTTCAGAAATATATACTTTATTTTTGTATGATTTTTCAATCGGAAAAATAAGTTTTGTTTACAAATATCTAAAGAATGGCTGACGTTATGGATTTTACTGAAAAAAAAGTGCCTGTCTATTCCAATGAATATAATTTCTGTCTGAAATAAACCAAAAGTATTTTGCTTACCAAGTCAGTCATGTATCGAAAGATATATGATTACCTAAGCGTGTATCACACATGGCACATAACTAAGTTCGGTGCTCCCCGGGTCACCCACACTTGTACCAGATTGCTTTCATCTTAAAGCCGGGTGTTCGAATCCAGTTAAAAAATCATGATTTCGAATATTGATTTTCAAGATAGGAACACGCACCTAATCTGGCAGATCGATATAATACCATACCCCCCCCAATTGTCCCTATATATTGTGCTCTTCGGAACTAAAATTCAGAAAGTGTTGTTAAAAGTTTTGAATAATCTCTTTTCACAATGTGAAATAATGTAGGACCTTGTTCTTTTACTGCCCCCCTTTTTTTGGCGTTTGCCGAAACGTAATTTCCTTTTTGTTTTGGAAGCAGATAAAACAGTAAAGATGACACGGTTTTATCTCCCGCTTCGCCTGGCTAAGCACTCGGGGTCAACAGAATGAACTATTGTTGACGTCATTGTTGTCATAGCGAATGCGCGCATTAACAGATAAGAGTGGAAGGAGTGATAAAACATCCAAATACACCTCCATCCAACACGTCCGCATTATTGACCCTAACCACCACGTCCATTGCAGTTTCACTGTTGCTTTCCGAAGAATTCTTACATTTATTTCTCTTTTTAATGGGGGTCTTACTTTTGTCTTTTTGTTTGATTCTTTAAAATCAATAACTTTTCTTTCTTTTTTTCTTTCTTTCTTTCTTACCATCATTTGGTTCTTTCTTTCTTTTTATTTTGATTCTATTAAATGGACGTTTTTTCATATACATATATATATATATATATATATATATATATATATATATATACATATATATACATATATATATATATATATAAACACACACACATATATATATATATATATATATACATACATACACGTTTTTATATAATATAGACAAGTGTTGTCTATTTTATGTAAATTTTTTTCGTAACATCTGATAAGTTTAATAACATTATCGTTGAACGAAGAAAGACATTCGCAATATTGATCCATATTTTTTTTTTAATACAATCTAAGCTTTCGGCTATATATATATATTATCAAAGATGTCAATTACAACATATTAAACAATATACGGACAAGACAGTGATAATAGTCTGTCATTGTTTATATAGATAATTTCTAATAACGATAAACACGCGCATAGAAGACGCTAGAAGCGAAAATCGCACCGCATCTCATGACGTCTCACATACCATATAGATATAATTGAGATGTATGAAATATGGAAAGCCGTTGGTATAAACCAATGGCTTCTGTTACCAATTATAGATATTTAAAAATATTTGTAGAGATGCCATAATTGATTTTGTTTTATTGGGTTTCAACTGTTTGATGTATAATGCTTCAATATTTTTCCAGGTTTTGTTTTTTGTTTTCATGTCGAAGTATAATTGTGTTTTCGACAAGTATTTTACAATTTTTCTTTGGACTAAAGATTTAAGGCAATGGACGATTTGTCTCGCCCTGTTTGGATGTTTTTAGTTCTTTCTTTTTTATCCAATTTTTTCTCGGGTACTGATTTGTTTTGCCATATCTACAAGTTGTGTTATCCGAGCTTTTTCAAATCGAGTATTACTACTATATATATATATATATATATATATATATATATATATATATATATATATATATATATATATATATATTTGTGTATTTAGGACAGCATTTTTTTATTGATACATGTTTCATTAAATAATATAGACTAAGTTTAATGATATTATTTATCATTAAACGAAGAATGTAATGTAATTGTCATCTTTGATAATGGCTTATGTAAGCCGAAATCTTAGATAGGATTAAAAATTATGAATCAATATTGTGATTTTCTTTCTTCGTTTAATAATAATGTTATTAAGCTTATCAGACGATATGAAAAGAATTTGCATAAAATAAATAGACAACACTTGTCTATATTATTTAATGAAACATGTATCAATATATATATATATATATATATATATATATATATAAATGGATTCATACCTTTCCTAAGGGTATTTGCGCTTAAGTGAAAATAACGAACCTAACTAGAATCCATTTGACCCCCTATCTATGGGTAATAGGGTAGGACAGAGTGGGATCTTTAGTGCTTTGATTGGCAAATAGTCTAGACAAAGGACAACTCTGAATTCAAAACCTGTTTGAGGACCTCGAAATTTGTCCGAAAACTATCCAACCTGTTTGGGGATCTCTGGATTTGTGTCGAAAACTATGCAACCTGTTTTGGGGACCTCGTGATTTGATCAGAAACTATCCAACTTGTTTGAGGACCTCGGAATTTGTCCGAAAACTATCCAACCTTTTTGAGGACCTCTGGATTTGTGTCGAAAACTATGCAACCTGTTTTGGGGACCTCGTGATTTGATCAGAAACTATCCAACCTGTTTGGGGATCTCTGGACTTGTCCGAAAACTATCCAACCTTTTTAAGGACCTCGTCGCACTCTATGTGCACTAGTTCTCTGTTTTCGTTTCTTCCGAAAATTGTGTTTGGTTCTGCAAAAGCTGTCCTTATTTTAATCAAATCATATGTGCCGGTATTCTGGCTGTTCGGTTCGAGAATTGATCTACTGGACACAGATACATCCAAGACGAGGCTAGAATCCATCATGCATTTCAGTGAAAATCATTTTCTTCTTTCTAAGAATTGTTTGCAGCCATTTCAAAACCAACATTTCGATGTTTGGTATTTGTCCTAAAACTATCCAACCATTTAATCGTAACATAAGAGCCTTAAAATCCCCCTCTTCTTCCTTTATATACCATGTCCCTTCACGACGTAGGCGATCATGGCTCTCCACCTCCTCCTCTCCCTTGTAGCTCTCAATAAGAGTACTGGCTTTCTAGTACTTCTCCAAGACCCTGTTCCGCCATTCATTTCCTTAAGGCAATTAAGAATGTTACGCGTTGCTTTCCCTTGTCTCTATTTGCCCTGTCCGAGTATCAGATTTTCCAAGCCCTCTTTTCTCATTATGTGTCCCAGAAATTTCAGCTGCCATTTCCTGATGTTAAGTATAAGTTTCCTCTTTGTTTGTGTCTTCTCCAAAAACCTCATCGTTGCTCACACATTCGGTCCATGGTATCCTCAGCATCCTTCTGTATAACCATACTCCCGTTGCCTCGAATCTCTTCTTCATCCTTGAGGAAACCGTCCAACATTCCCTGCCGTAAAGGAGGACAGATATCACGTAGTAACATTATTAGTGTTAATGTTTCTTTTGAAAGGTCACACGGTTATTGCAACGCCCGTTTTCCTGTGCAAAACAGTTGTTTTAGTTCTCTTTTGGGATGACTCAAATCTGCCTCGTCGCATTCTCGTTGTTCCTCAATATAACAGTATTCTTTAATTCTCGGTATTCTATAATATCGGTATTCCTTAATCTCGAAGTATTCCTTAATTCTCGGTTTTCCGAAAAAGGCGCTATTCTTTAATTCTCGGTATTCTATATCTGTATTCCTTAATCTCAAAGTATTCCTTAATTCTCGGTTTTATGAAAAAGGCGCTATTCTTTAATTCTCGGTATTCTATATCTGTATTCCTTAATCTCAAAGTATTCCTTAATTCTCGGTTTTACGAAAAAGGCGCTATTCTTTAATTCTCGGTATTCTATATCTGTATTCCTTAATCTCAAAGTATTCCTTAATTCTCGGTTTTACGATAAGGCGCTATTCTTTATTCTATTCTGTATTCCGGTATTCTATATCTGTATTCTATATCTGTATTCCTTAATTCAAAGTATTCCTTAATCTTTTAAAAAAGGCGCTATTTTAATTCTCGGTATTCTATATCTGTATTCCTTAATCTTAAAGTATTCCTTAATTATCGGTTTTACGATAAGGCGCTATTCTTTAATTCTCTGTATTCCTTAATCACATTTTTTAACGTTTTCCTTTTCAACGGCGATTTCTTTTATTTTTCGGTTGGAAAATATCGTCGAGGTTCTTTTTTTCTTTTTGTCTTTCTTTCTTTCTTTGCCAACGTTTATAAAGCTTCTTTCTTTCTTTTTTGTTAATAATCTTTTTCTTTTAAATTTCCGTTGTTATCTATATATTTTCTTCTTTGTTTCTTTATTCCTAGTAATTTGGATTATTTCTTTCATTAATCACCTTTTTCTTTTTCTTTCTTACTTTTTTTATATATTTATTTATTAATATCATCATTTCTTCTTTCATCTTTTCTCTTTTTAGTTATGTCATAATTCCTCATTTTCTTTCTTCCTTTCTTTCTTCTTTTATCATTCTTTCTTTCTTTCTTTCTTTCTTTCTTTCATCATTCCCCTTTTTCTTTATTTCCTTCTTTCATTCATCATTCCTTCTTTCTTTCTTTTTTTCTTTCTTTCATCCTTCCACTTTTTCTTTATTTCTTTCTTTCATCATTCTCTTGTTTCTTTCTTTCTTTCATTCATCATTCCACTTTTTCTTTCTTTCTTTCTTTCTTTCTTTCTTTCTTTCTTTCTTTCTTTCTAGAGTTATCATCTATCTATTGTACGTGTTTTTTGATGCAGTCTCCGTTCCAACATTCGTAACGATCAAATAGAATCTAGAGGCGTTATGGTTGCTTACAGACCTGTGGCTGATGAGATATTCTGCTCCCAAAAACCCTGTACAAGAGGTTATTGTAAATGTGGCGGTCAAACAATACACTCAATGGCGTCTCATTGCCGACTGAATATCAGTTACACCACGAGAGATTTTTCATGCAAGCAAAGTGTGGTCCCTTTTCATTGTTTGCCAAGTTGCATCAATGTCGCGCAACCGGTTCTGAATATATTGAAAACGTCTGGATCCTTTATGGACAAACCGCAAGCACTTTTAAAAGTAGAGTTTCGTTGCTCAGCATTAAACAAACAAAGAGAAGAAATCTTTTATAAACAGAAGGTTGTTAAGATCAGGTCAAAGATAATGGCATATTTTCATTGTATGTCATCGCGTTCGCATACACACACACACACACGCACACACACGCACACACTTGCTTTCTCACACTGACTTTTGTTATTCTTTTCTAGGAGAAGTTTACTTCTATCTGACAGTTGTTCTTAGAACAACTTCAAGGCACGCAATGAAGCTTTTCTACATTAGCCACACCAGGCGACTCTTCTGCGCATGCTCGTCAAAGGTTTCCGTCAAGGGGAAAAGTTGACCTAGTGTCGTTATAAAGCCTTCTTTCCTGTTTACTCAGATTATTCGTGTATTTTTTAATCATTAATAAACGGGATGTCACGAAAAATAAGCATGGCGGACGAGCTTAACTCTACAGGAGACAATTTGTCAGTTGCTTTTCGATTAAAAAAAAATTTTATGCATTAATAACGCACGTCTTGCTTGCAGAATGACCCCATTACGAAATGTGTCAGATCTGATCACTGTCACCAGAAATTCGCGACTGATTAATTATTGACTAACATTTCATGGGTAAGATTGACTTTAAAAAAATGCTACCAAGATGTCTTTCGTTCTAATGATTACTTTTTTGTACTAAATTTCTCCTAATAAGAGGCTAGAGAACCGCTCGAGGTAGAGGGTTCCAACAAAAGAATTTAATGATTAGTAAGGTTTGTGATATGAATTGAGTATGTTAAATAATAGTCTAGCAGACTATTATTTTTTAAAGAATTGTATTCGCCTCTGACTTCCTCATTTTGATCTTTGAGGTCAGATACAGGAAAACAAAGGGAGTCGTTTTTGATTGGCTAAAACTAGCATGTAAATGAGAAATATAGAAAGGGAGTTAAGTTTTACATGGCGAAGAATGTAGACGTGTAAAAATCCTGTCTGGAAACTGCTTGCTCCCCAGTGGGGTGGGATAGCAACCCCAGTTATTAGTTAGAAGATGTACCCGTCGACGTGGTGAATAAAAAATTAGATAAATTAAAATTACTTTGTTAAAGTTCTTATTTTTAATTCCGAATCAAAAACATTTCGCTACCAAAAACATTTCGACAAGCGACCAAGAAAAAAGAAAACAATATGAGTGAATCAAGAGCGTCACCTCAACCTCACCCCCCACAAAAAAGGGTCTATGCAACAAAAGGAAGCTGCTAGGAATTGAAGATTATGAGGCTAAGGAAGAGAGATGACGACTGACCCTTGACTTGAGGTGGTCAAGATTGAAGGGATTATATGGACATTTTGTTCTTGTTTTTGTGTGAGCAACTCGCCTCAAAAATTTGTAAAGGTAATTTTGGTACACCCTGTATATATAAATATAAAAGTGTACATTGAAGTCAACACCCAGAGGCGACAGTCTGTTTCACGCTAAACACAATCGTCAGGCATGAAACAGACTGTCGTCTCTAAATTGACGTTTCTATTTACATACTCTCTATCTTTGACACTGGGCTTTTTAACCCATAAATAAATCATACTTTTAAACTATATTTTATCATATATATATATATATATATATATATATATATATTTTTTTTTATGTTTATACGTTCTTTTATAGATATAAATATTTAAGTAAATGCTCTGTTTATAATAAACAGTATTAACAACATTTACCGGCCGTAATTATAAACAGAACATTTACTTAAATATTTGTATCTATAAAAAGAACGTATGAACATAAAAATGTCTTAAATAATTGTCGGACTTAATTGTCCATTTCAATATATATATATATATATATATATATATATCTCAAATAAATATAAAGAGCCAGGAACAACCTACCTACGTTTCACCTAAACGGATCTTCAGGATATATATAAATATATATATATGGCGTTCAATTTTATTTTCGACCTAATGATAAATTTATGCTAAAACAACGCAATCGTAACATCATATAGTTCAACCCACCTTATAAGAGTAATGTCCAAACAAATGCAGGTAGATTTTTTAAATTTAATTCACTAACGCATTGGTCATTCTCCAGCACCAAAAAAGATTTTCAACAAAAATAATATTAAGGTACGCTATAGCTCTACTAAAAACATATATCGCAACATGACAATAATATATTAAGCAAGCACACAAACAAAATACTAAATAATAATTCTACTAAAGTCAATGTAACTGCCGTAAACATGTGACCTGCTCACTAAATGGCCAATACATGACCGGAGTTATAATCTACAAAGCTAAGATCAATTCAGACGACGATGCTAACTACTACTTTGGTTCCACCGAGAACAACTGGAAATGCGTTTTTACCACCATCAAATGACGCTAAGCAATATTGAATACAAAAACTGTGCAACACTCGCAAAGTATTTTTGGCGAGCAGAAAGCAATTACAAGAGCCCAACCATTGGCTGGAGATAATCGCGAAACTTAAACTATACTATGGAAAGAGAGACAGGTTTAACTGATTTTTTTTAGAAAAACTTATCTTAATATAATTAAATAACCCTAACTTTCCGAACAAAATAATTGATTGATCACTACATTTTTTTTAAGCATTTCACCCCAAACAAGTCGGTAAGCCACTAGCACGCAAGGGGTTACAGAGAGTTGGAGCTAGATCAAATAGAAGTGATAGAGGAAAGGACGAAGAGAAGGGTAGGGGATAGATCAAGGCATCTGGAGACGTCGATTGACATTACATTTGAATAGTTGGAGATTATAGCTATCAAGGAAACAGGAAGAGGCGAGGGATTTCCGCAGGTGAGAGGTGCGAGACATGAAGCTATTGGAGTAGAAGAGATGGCTACATTTAAGAGTTTCGACTGTGAACGGGTGTAGCGAGATGCCAGCCTAGTAGAACGCTTAAATTCATGAAGTTTGGGAAGCAGCTCCTCGGATCAGTTACCGTGAAAGTATTTGTAAAAAAATTCAGAGGGAGGCGACGGTACGTCTGTGAGAGAGCGACTGCAGATGCCAGATTACTTTGCATATCTGTCTCTGGATCTTATCAAGAACCTTGAGACAAACATAAGGGGTACCAGACCATATATAGCAACAATACTCCATGCAAGGGCGAATGGTTGATTTGTAGATTTGAAGGATCGACTCCAGCGAGAAAAAGTTCCTGGTGCAGCAGAGGGAGCCAACTTTCCTGGAGGTGGAAACATCTGCTAAAGTACATTGAGCCTGATTAAAATAGATTTTAAAATAGATTCTACTATAAGCCTTATTAATATTAATATAATATGTAGCACCAATTAATATTCATAGACTCGTCATTAATAGCATTTTTTATATATCTATACACATATAATTGCATATTATAGATCGTACTTTATTATTTTATTACCTATGTGTTATGGTCCAGGTCCTTGTACCAAGGTGATAGTGCAAGGTAGAACCAATAAAGAAGAACTCGAACACGGGTATGGAATAACACAGATATATTACAAACAGGAATATATACAGAGAAGTAGAAAGTGTTAGTACGAACAATCAGGTTTAGTAGGCAGAACAATCTAGTCTCGACCAGTATCACTATTCCAATGTCTTGTAGTAATTGTCTGAACGCGACTCTTTTTCGGACTGCCTCTGACTCGACTGACTGACTCGCTCGCTCTGACTGACTGATAGACTCCTGACGGACCTCACTCCAGACTTCACACTGAACGGTATTTAGCCACCCTCTACGAGGGCATCATGTGGCACAAGGCCGGTTTAACGTGGGCTCGGCCAAAAATATGCCCTTTGAACACGTATAAACGGGTTCAGGGTCGGTTTACCTCCCCGAAAGAGACTCCGCCCTTCGGCGTAGCTTCGTTCGGGTTCCTCCCCGCCCGAAGGCAGAGAGTTCAACCGATCAGCCGATCAGCCGGTCGCTCGACTTCAGACTGAACTCCGTGCTTCCTCTTGAGGCGCAGTATTTATTACGTATGGAATAGTCTATTATGTTATTATCGGTAAGGCCCCATAACACTATGCATATGTAGTTTCACCTTTGTAAGTATAAGGCTTGGTTTAAAATGCATTATGTATATCGTCATAACATATAATTAAGTTAATATGAGAGCTAAGTTTATTTCATAAGGCATTACTTTAATAATATATTTTGATAAGCACTAATTATATCTATTACCTCTAACGACGGTTTTTATGCTAAAAAGGAGTAACCTCCCTTGAGAGCGTGTTTATATAAATTCATTTGTTTTAATTTTTCGTCTTTCGAACGTAAGACTTTGATCGATATAAATTATATATAATTAATTTAATTATTGTAAAGAATAATAATAAAATGAATAAATCTTTACACAGTTTTTTTACAGTGATTATTCTGCACCTGAAGATTGCGCATCCGTCTGAAACTCCGAGTCGTGCTAACGACATGGGATATTATGTATATTTACTAATGTATATCACACACACAAACACACACACACACACACATATATATATATATATATATATATATATATAAATAAATAATTAGGCGGATTTGAAATAATTAAGTAATTCATTGAGTCTAGAAGAAACCTCAACTAAATTCAGAAAGCACTAGACGGACTTTTCGTCCAATATTTGGGACTCATCAGCAGTGCGCATCCACTACCGAGAATTGAAACCCGAAAAGTTACGGTAGGAGGCAAACACCATACCAACTGTACCAATGGG